TTCTGAAAGAAAATGTTGACTCCATTATTTTTAGTCTAAGCATCTGAAAGTCTGAAGTGGTTATTAACAGAAGAGGGAAAACTATAGAAGAAACAGATTTGAAAACTGGAGGGAAGATCAGTATTTTGATTTGGACATGTTAGTTCAAGTTCTTGTTACATAACCAAATAAAGATGTCAAATAGTCTATTAGAGAACGGATTCTGGAGACCAGGGTTGAGACCTGAGCTGAAGGATTAAATGTGGGCATCATCAAAACATAGAAAGTAAGTAAGACCATGACTAGATGAACTTACCTAAGAAATGGGAGTAAAAAGAGAAGGAAAAAAACATAAATTTAAACTCTTATTTCATACCATCCACAAAATTTAACTCATAAGTAAATGATCATAGAGAAAAACTTAAGAAATGAGATACTGACAGATACTGAGACATTGTACAAAATGCAAGAAATAAAAAATGGGTTAGTAAATCATAATTCTATCTATGAATTACTTCACTGATATCATTATGTAATTATATATAGATTATTATATACTTAAAATCTACTGCCTATCAATCTATCAATATCTACATTGCTATTTTAAATAAAACTAAATTGGATACAGAGTCACCATAACTTTGAATAGGTAGAAATTCAAGTAAAAACATTATTGTTGCTCCCACCTTCTCCCTAGATTTTTGGTCATATTATTTTTAAATGTAACTTAGACATTTGAAGAAAAAAGAGTTTACATAATTTGTCATATGTATATAGATGTACAGAAATACATAATATATATGAATATGTAAATGAATAACCTTATTCCTCTCTATTAAACCGTTTGGCTACATTATCAGTAAGGGGACTGCATGAAATCACCAACAAAACAAGCATGATTGATTAACGATTGTAGAATTCAGACCTTGGACAGTGTGATATTTTCAGTTTAAAGACAAGGGGAAGGACTAGCAAAGGAGACTGAGAGGTGGTGCCCAGAGAACAAGGATAAAATCGGAAGAGGGCAGCATCTTGAAATGCAAATAAATTCTGATCAGTACTGCTAATAGAGCAGGCAACATGAAGACTAACCATTGGCAAGGCGACACACCTCACTGGTGATCTTACAAATGTCAGATTTAATGGAGTGGTGACAGCAACATCCTCACTGGAATGGGTTGAATGGCCAATAGTTGAAGAGGCTGTGTACTTTGCTAAATAATTATTAACCAAGAGGAAAATAGAGTTGAAAAAGTTGAGTCCTGAGGTCAGCCTCTGATGTGAAAAATCAAAGACTCTCAGCCAGTTCTCAGAACTCAGCCAATTAGAGAAACAGAGATAAATGACTGAAAGAAATCTTAAGTTCTGATAATGAACAATGGAGGTGGTGTCACATTTTATATTCCTATTCAGTTAACCTTTCTGCCCTCTTCCAAAACCACATGGATTACAGAATGAATGCACATTAGCATAACTTAAATTGCTCTTGCAGATGCTCCCTAGCATGTGGCATCTTTCCTGAGCAGAACGTGGTTTCTGGAACTTTGTATATGGCTTTTGATTTGGTGAATGCTTTTTAATCTAGGCCCATTGTGAGAGAAAATCAAAACAATGTGTTTGGTGTGGTAAGAACGAAAGCACTGCTTCACTGTTTTATGTCAGGGCTATGTCACTTCTGTTTTCAGTTTAACTGGCATTTTGCAAAACATCATCCTAACTCAATGCATGAATAATATTACTTTAATTGGTACCCATAAGCAGGAAGTGGTAAGTTCCTTAAACATAGTAAAATAGTCCAACATTTAACAGAAGTAAAATACCAGAAGAAGGGAGATATAAACTTCAGCAGATTCAAGGACTTGTAATTCATGGTGCTTTTAGAGGTCCAATGCTCCTGGTCCTTGTGTCAAAACATCCTTTTAAAGTAAATGGCATGTTGTCTGGTATATAATTCTTCTCACAAAAGAAAAGGCACAGTGTTTTGGGGCCTATTGGGATTTTGGAGTCAACATATTCCACGTTTCAGGATATTGCTCTGATTCACTACTGGAGTTTCCAAAGGCTACTGGTCTCAAGTGGAACCCACAACAAAAAAGAGTTCTATAGAAGATAGAGGCTCTGGCCCAAGCTGTTCTGCCCATTGTGCCAGATAATCCAGCAGAACTCAGACCTGCTAGAGGCTTGCATAGTGCGCATTATAGGACTCTGTGCAAGTCTATGACAAATCCATAGAACAGGGGAGAGCAAACCCCTAGGGAATTAATGTAAAACCATTTCCTCTTCAGCAGAGGAGTGCCCTCTATCTAAAAAAAAAACCCAAAAAAGCAGGTTCAGAAGATTAATCCAATCATAAAGCCCCTCTAAGCATGAATGCCTCTACGCACAAGACGCTGTGCAACTGTGGAAGTCATATGCTCATAAAGCCAGGCATGTTTGGAATACATGAGCAATTCAGAGTGGTACAAGGAGAAGAGAGTCTAGGACACAAACATGCGCTTCCTCAGATTCACTGGACTGTCTCCTACTCTCTTGGCCAGCGACTTGCCTGATCCAGAATCATCCTTCCTTTTGGGGTTTGAATGGATCACCACACTGTGGGATGACGTCTGACTTTCATAACAGCCACCAAGGGACTGGATGATGGAAGGCAAAACAGTAGAGACGGTAGTTCTGCCTCAGGTAAACCCTGGCCAATAAGAAATCAACAACAGAAGACAGCTGAGTAGATACATTGTCTCTCCTCTCTCATGTCCATGGACTCCTGCTGGCTATGGTTTCCCCTGGTAGCCATTCTGGAAGAGTAGTGGGAGCCAAGTGTAGACATCTGATGACCACCATGCTATCTCTCACACCTTACTGTGAAATGGCCACAACACAGTCAGATACACACAACGCATTGTTACAATACATCACAATACATTGTTTCACATCTGCTCTTGCCTCAATTTCCACGTGTCCCCGCCATTGCTGCCCTGGCCTCACCTTCCAAATAAATGTCATCACTTTAATATCAGGCATTGTGTTCTAGACCCCCAAAGCTATTTATTCCGTGGCATAATTATTATTCATTCGTTTTTCTGTGAATTTATAATATGGCAATTAAAATGTTTATTTAGAAAGGATATTAAAATAACATATAAAAATCACATTTTAGTAAGGTCATTGATAACTAAATCAATTTTTAAAAATGAGTAGCTATTTTCATTACATAACAACCAGCTAGAAATATCACAATACAAACATATCATTCGTAATTGAAAAAATATATGCAAATATCCAAAAATATTTTATGTGCTTTTTTAAAGGTATTGTAATAGGTGCCATCTGATTTAGATGTTTCACCTTGTCTCCATCCATGTCTTTCATCTGATGTAGTTGAATTGAGGCTATATTATAGTGATATTTCCCTTACAATTATGGAATAGCTGCATTTTTACTCTGAGAAATGTTTCTTCTTATATAATCCTGTAATCTCAACCAGAAATCAGAATAGAAAAATTCATGCAACTGTAGATTTTGTGATGTTTCATTTTCATTGGTTCAACACCCGGATATATATAATTTATTCATGTATTTACTAATTTATTTGTTCATCAAAATGCTTTTGGATACCTATCTTTTGTACTATCTTTTAAGTCCTAGGAGTCAACAGTAAGCAAGATCTCTATGATCTCTGCTTTTTTTTTTTTTTTTTTTTTAGATGGAGCTTCGCTCTTGTTACCCAGGCTGGAGTGCAACGGCGCGATCTCGGCTCACCGCAACCTCCACTTCCTGGGTTCAGGCAATTCTCCTGCCTCAGCCTCCTGAGTAGCTGGAATTACAGGCACGTGCCACCGTGCCCAGCTAATTTTTTGTAATTTTTAGTAGAGACGGGGTTTCACCATGTTGACCAGGATGGTCTCAATCTCTTGAACGTGTGATCCACCCTCCTCGGCCTCCCAAAGTGCTGGGATTACAAGCGTGAGCCACCGCGCCCGACCCGATCTCTGCTTTTATGGTGCTTACGGTGTACCAGGAAAGATTTATGATAAGTAAATAACTAAATCAGATGATTATATAAAAGTTTTGATAAGACTGTTAAAATTTCATAACCCCAAGAATTAACACAGTCTGTAGAATTTACTTGTTTAATGCTGTTGTACATTTTCTTCCTATAATGGAACTTGCTGTCACTAAATATGTCAACACACTTTATCTCACTGCATTATTTGCAACTAAATTATAATAAAACAAATATTCAAGTCATTTCCTATCATCAATACATAGATTTCATAGATGTCATTTTAACATTTGCAGAAAGTTTAATTCAATGATTTTAATAATTTCTATACTATTTTTACATTGATTATTTTTAAGTGATAAATATTTGAGTTCATTTATGAGATGTTTACAAAGAATTTTAAATGTGGAAGTTATTGAAGAAAATTGGCAATACAGGAACTCTGAGGTGGTTTAGAAATAAAGCTAAATAGTCTGGGCGCGGTGGCTCAAGCCTGTTATCCCAGCACTTTGGGAGGCCGAGGAGGGTGGATCACGAGGTCAACAGATCGGGACCATCCTGGTCAAAATGGTGAAACCCCATCTCTACTAAAGATACAAAAAATTAGCTGGGCATGGTGGCTCGTGCCTTTAATCCCAGCTACTCAGGAGGGTGAGGCAGGAGAATTGCCTGAACCCAGGAGGTGGAGGTTGCGGTGAGCCGAGATCGCGCCATTGCACTCCAGCCTGGGTAACAAAAGCGAAACTCCATCTCAAAAAGAAAAAAAAAAAAAATGAAGCTAAATATTTGACATCAGATCTCAACTTCAAAAAACGTTTTCTTCCCTTCAAAAACTGGAAGAAATGACCTTTCTAACTGCATATGGAGACTTATGACAGCACTTGAGGTCATCAACGTGTTTCTGTCCCAATTACAGAAACGACTTTTTTCTCAGTTGTTTACATATTTTTATAAAATCTAATATTCCTCAGTACTGTTTATAATAGACATATACAAAATTTATTCCAAATATATTTTTCATCCTTGAATTTTGAGCATAGTTTTCCAACAATAATTACTTGCTTTTAACTAAACATAAAATTAGAATTCATGATGAAATAGAAACTACCCCAAAGATAACACCTCATTATTGACTTAGAATAGAATTCTCATACCATCCCAAAAACTAGATGTTCACATAATGTTTAAGCACACTATGCTACACATGTATGATACAAATAACAGTGGAAAAGAGCAACATTTTGTGAACTAAGCTGTAAGTTCTTAACAATTATAAATGGAGATCATAAATTTTTCAAATAGGACATGATAATATGAAATATATATGTGAAATACACATGGCTTCATGATTTTGCAAAATTTCTTAGCATATTTTCTATAATTTGGCAGTTTGTAAAAAAATGATTAAGATAATGTTATTGTCACTGTCTCTTAAGTGTTTCATATATACATACACATGCATATATAGATACTTTTTTAGACTAACTTTAGGTAAAAGACTTTTCTAGGTCTACTTTTGGAAATTACTGAAAGACATACACTACAAAAAAGCCAGCAGAAAGTATAAAACATTCCAGACACCATCAGTTTGTTTCGTCTTGGAGACACAGGATGTCCCACTCGTGAATCCAGAAACTTGAGAGTTTCTGGTCTTTTACTCAGCACCTACTCTGACACAAAATCAAAAGGAAGGTCTGTTTTAGCTTCTTGCTTCCCCAAATTAGGATGAATGAATGAAATGAAGGATATATAATTGCAGTAATTTGGCAGAGCATGAGGATTGGTTCATTCTGCAGCATTCTTCTAAGATATCAAATTGACTTGGTTAGGGACAGAACATAAATAACAAAAGGAAGGAGATCACAGTTTGTAAAGCTTTTATGTGGACCTTGATGTTGAGATCTGTAGATCCTTTGCCATGGAGCTGCATCTTCTTGAGACGTTTATTCAGAAAACAGATTAACAGGAGAAAAGATGTCAGGGATAGAGTAAGGGGTAGTAAGGTTGTAAGCGTGCTTACAGTCATATCAGACAGATGCGTTGTGTCACTCAATTTGATCTTCCAACTCACATTTCCTTCATATTCTTTTTTTTTTTTTTTTTTTTTGAGACGGAGTTTCTCTTGTTACCCAGGCTGGAGTGCAATGGCACGATCCCGGCTCATGGCAACATCCGCCTCCTGGGTTCAGGCAATTCTCCTGCCTCAGCCTCCTGAGTAGCTGGGATTACAGGCATGTGCCACCATGCCCAGCTAATTTTTTTGTATTTTTAGTAGAGACGGGGTTCCACCATGTTGATCAGGATGGTCTCGATCTCTTGACCTCGTGATCCACCCGCCTCAGCCTCCCCCTTCATATTCTTTTGTCCACATACTCTCATCCATGTTTATCATGACAAGATGACAAACCAAAAATAACAAAGCCCCAAATAGTATCACTGGAATGACACTCTTAGGTCTCCTCTTTAGGTGAAGAAAAATAAAGCTGGAGAAACTGGCAATCTTGAGCAAATAAAATATGCTGAGGCTAGTAGCAAGCCAGTTGCTGAAATGGTTAGTTACTGCCCAGGCATTATTATTAGTAATTCTTGCTTCTAAACTATACAAACCTGGATTAAACACAGTTGCATACCAATGTAGTAATATTACCCAGAGAAAACCAACTCTGGGGACTGCCAGAGCAGTGAGAATTTGGTCAGCAAGGGAGATCTTTTGTCTCTTGACCCACTCAGTGGAATTTACCAATGCTGTGAAGCCATTAGCAAAATTTGCAAGAACAAATGTAACCACTACTAGAATGGAAAAAGTGATGGATAGAAAAGTTACCATGTTGGAACAGACAAAAAGATAGAAAAACTGAAAGCCTAACAACACTGGCTGTGATTCCTTTAATACCCTGACCTTAAATTTTATGTGCACCTGATTTCTGAATCTGCAGTAACATTCTTTTTATTTTCAAATACTGTGACCAGTGTCAAACAAGAAAGTACCAGTTTATGCTAATGGATGAGTTCAAAAAATGTATTTATGGAAAACATTCTAATGTTCAAACAGCTCAACTTAACTCATTCATTCAATGACTATTCTTGTTAGAGACCTGAAAAATTCAACTGAAGTTGAAGTGAAGCCTGAATTTTCATTTGCCAGCATGCAAATAAAAACGTATTCTCTTTCAATGTTTTGCAATGTTTTCCTCTTTTCACATCTCCATAATTTGTGTTCAGCAACTTTAGCTACTGGTTATGGAAATTTTACCACACAGTTCAAAAAGTAAATGTCTAAATTCTTAAAGGGAGATTAGTCATAACTAGGATCATCACCATGACCAATTTTATGCTAGATTTAAATAGACAAAATCCAAAATTTTTAATCCAAATCATCCAAAGTTTTCTTGAGAACCATGGGAAGGTCAATATGTCTTATTCCTGCAAACCAGTACTTTTGTAAGACATTATTGTTAACAAGCTCATAAAACATACACAGACAGACAGACACACACACATACACACACCCCTCCAGAAAAAAAGGAATTTTCAAAATAATTTACAAAATGGAAAATGAGTTTCCAGGAGATCATACTGGTAAAATTAGTCCTTTTTTCCCACTCAGGATTTTTAACCCATAAAAATATATCAAATATATCTCTCATGCTTAGACCTCTAATAAAGTTACTCCTCTCGTCTATTTAATGCCTAAATATTTGTTATTTTATTAAAATATTCATCACTTTTAGAAATATTCTGAGTATCACATTCTTTGACATATAATCTTGCAGTATTTTATCACCACAGACAGGGTGACTACCTTGCTCCTGGACTCAATGAACTCACATAACTTGCTTTGATTAATGGAAAATTGGTAAACTCCACACAGATTTGAGATGGCATCCAAACTGGAGTTTCTCTTTCTTTTCTGTTTATTATGAGAACATCACCTGGCTACTACACTGTTCCCAGAAGAAGAATGAGAAAATAATGGAGTCAGTTTGCTTCTGCCTGATCCAGCCTAAATTGGTCAAAGTCTAACTAGTTCCAAGATGCAGAACTTGGCCCATCTCAAATTACCAGAGCCATCCACCAAACCCAGCTTAGGAAAGCTGAATCCAAAGATATGTGAGATATCAATATGTAACGTAGTTTTGTGGAGGTTTCTCTGGTAGAAAAACCTAATTGATATAGGTACTCTGCTAAATCAAGAGTGTGGGAAATATGTCCCACACTTGTTGTATCGGGAACACAGGAACCAAAAGAAAAATAGATGAAGAATGACAAAGTTTTGACCTGCAAGGTAGATAATTAAAGGTAGAAAACACCTTTAGAAAGATCTGTGTACTGCAGGTAACTTCTCCTCTTATTTCTACATGTTGTAGCTAAAATAAAGTTCATACTTCAACCCTCTTAGAGTTGTATATAAAGATACATAAATGGTGAATTTTTTCCTAGGTATATAATGAGCAAAGTAATCAATAATTTTTATGGTGCACTTCTCCTAATAAATAATTTTCAAATAAAAGTATAATGCACACTTGGAAATGAGTCAAAATAAAAATGGTAAACACAGCAATGTATCATAAGCATTCATGTAACCATCACATAGGGCAAGACGTGGAACATTACAAAGAGCCTAGGGCTACCCCCATGCTGCTTTTCAAGCCCCTAAATGTTTCTTCACATCTCCTGTGGTAAGCAATACCCATAATTTATGATGATAATTTCCTTGGTGTTCTTTATGCCTTACCAACTAGGTATGCAACTCTCAACTCTCAACTTTATATCATACATAGGTGTAGTCCTGTAGGTTCTTGTTCATAGCTTCTTGGACTCAATACTATGTTTCTGAAATTTGGTCACTTAGTCTGTGGCCATACCACTCTGAATGTACCTGATCTTATCTGAAATTTAGTCACATAGTCACATGTATCTGTAATTTATATCTTTTCACTTATCTATATTGTTCCATTGTATAGATTTACTGTAGTGACTCATCCATCATTAGTTGATGTATATTTGGAGGGTTTTCCTTTTTGAGCAGTCATGAATAATGCTACTATGAGCATGCTTTCATATATCATTTGATGCAATTCCTGTGAATATCCAACTACTGGTAGATTTACAGGGTCATTGAATATGATTTTTGAATTCTCTTCACAGACAGAAAAGTCCAAAAGATAATTTAACTAATTTTACTCTTTTTACCTTTACCTCCGGTCTACATATAGCTATTTGTATGTATCTTATCAAATATACCCTTAACCCAAGAAGACACTTTAATTTTATACCATCAAAATTGATTTAGAATTATGTACATATTTACCACTTTCGCTATTCTTATACCTTCCTGAATGTTCAACTTTGTATTTTCAGTACTTTTTCTTTTATCTAGAAAACATTATCTTTAATTTCTGTTTATGAAGTTCTGCTAATTCTTTTGAAACACACTGAAGTTATGTTCCATTGAATTCTAGCTTTGATTTTGTCTGTTGAAAATCAGATTGTCGTTTGGACAGTTTTTCCTTTTCACATAATCTTTTTTCTCTACCTACTTTTCAGATTTTCTATTGATCTTTGATGTCCCATGGCATTTGTATCTCAATTCATTTTTAATTATCTTGTCTGAGGTTTGATGGCTTATAAAAATATATGGATGAACCAGAATAACCAAAGCTATATTAAGCAAAAAGAACAAAACTGGACAAATCACATTACTTGACTTCAAGTTATGCTACAGAGCTAAAATCACATGGTACTGCATAAAAACAGACGCACAGAACAACAGAACAAAATAGACAACGTAGAAACAAGTCCACACACCTACAGTGAACTCAGGTTTGACAAAAGTGCCAAGAATGTACACTAGGGAAAAGGCACTAAATAGTGCTGGGAAAACTGGATATCCATATGCAGAAGAATGAAACTAGACTCCTATCTATCACCATATATGAAAATCAAATCAAAATAGATGAAAAACGTAAAATCTAAGACCTCAGACTATGAGACTACTATAAGAAAACACAGGGTAAGAGCTTCAGGACATTGATCTCAGCAAAAATTTCTTGTTGCCCCACAAGTACAGGCAACAAATCAAAAATGGACAATTGTGATGACATCAAGTTTAAAAACTTCTGCACAGCAAAGGATACAGTCAACAAAATGAAGAGACAACACATGAGTGGGAGAAAACTATCATATTACAAGGGATTTGCAAACTACCCATCTAACAAAGGGATTAACAGCTAGAATTTGCAAGGGGTTGAATCTACTCTATAGGAAAAAATATATAATAATCAGATAAAAAAGAGAAAATGATTTGAATAGACATATCTCAAAATAGGATATATGAATGACAAGCAGGCATATGAAAAGTTGTTCAAGATCATTGATCATGAGAGAAATATAAATCAAAACTAGAATGAGATATCATCTCACCTCAATTAAATGGCTTATATTCAAAAGACAGACAATAACAAATGCTAGTGAGGATGTGGAGAAAAGGGAACCCTTCCCTGTTGGTGAGAGTGTAGATTAGTACAACCACTGTGGAGAACAGTTTGGAGGTTCCTCAAAAAAAAAAACAATCTAAAAACAGAGCTACCATATGATCCATCAATGCCACTGCTGGATATATACCCAGAAGAAAGGAAATCAGTATATCAGAAAGATATCTGTTCTCATATGTTTGTTGCAGTACTGCTTATGGTAGCTAAGATTTGGAAGCAACCTGAGTGTTCATCAACAGATGAATGGACAAAGAAAATGTGATATGTATTTCAATATTCAGCTATAAAAAGAATAAGATCCTGTGATTTGAAACAACATAGGAACTGGAGATCATTACGTTAAGTGAAATAAGCCAGGCACAGAAAAATAAGTATCACATCTTCTTATATATTTGTGAGATCTGAAAATCAAAACAACTGAACTTCTAGAGAGTAGAAGGATGGTTACCAGAGACTGGAAAAGGTAATGGGGAGTCAGAGAAGGACATGGAGGAGGTGGGATGGTTAGTAGACACACAAAAAAATAGAACAAATGAATAGGGTCCAGGACTGATGGAGTGACTATAGTCAATAATAACTTAATTTTACATTTTAAAATAAAAATGTGTAATTGGATTGTTGTAACTCAAAGGAGAAATAATTGAGGGGATAAATTGGATTGTTTGTAACTCAAACAACAGTTAATTGAATTGTCTGTTACTCAAAAGATAAATTTGACTGTAACTCACAGGATAAGTAACTGAGGAGATGGATGTCGCATTCTTCTTATGTTGTATTACATGCCTGTATCAACACTTCTTAGGTACCCCTTAAATATATACACCTACTATGCACCCACAAAAATTAAAAATAAAAATAAATAAATAAGGATGGCTATATTTTATCATATTAGGAAAAATATCTGTGACATGGTTTCTGTCCCATTTTCTCTCTTCTAATCTGACCAAACATTGAAGTATGTTAGATGTTCAGACTGTAGCTTCAATGTCTCTTACCCTCTAGCCTTGTATTTTCCATCTCTTTTGTCTCTTTATGCTTCGATCTGTGTAGTCTTCCAATTCACTAATTCTCTCTCCCCCTGTGTCTAATTTGTTGTTAACTCTGTCTATTGGATTATCAGTATTGATTATTCCTTTCTTTAGTCTTATTGGTTTAGATGCAGAAATGATCTTTTGTCCTTTTTCTATAAATCATTTTATATGGGAAAACTGAAAAGAAAACCATTCTTAATATCAAGTTCATAAAGAAAGTGTTTGGGGGATTTTATGTTGTTGATGTTTATTTGTTTCCTTGACACTTGACACAGAAATGCTAAAAATGTTCTATTTTTCCCCACACTTAGGTTATAGGATAAAATAAAAGCTTGGTCTAGGCATTATCCTGCAAGTTGAAAGAAACTGGAAATTAACTTCATGTGAGTAGCTTTTGTTTTTCTTTGTTTTGTTTTTGGAATAGCACCTTGATAGGTCCTCACCACAAGCTCTCCTTACAGGGAAATTCACTGAACAGCACTGATTCTCAAAATGCCATTCCAATAAATAAAATATGGTACTCAACTACAGCTACACCATCATACTCCATGGATTAATTTTTATTTTGCTTATAATGGAGAAATGTGGCTCTGTGCCTTCAAACTGCATCACTACCCAAGTGAGATATCAAAGAGGTGAGGGCTAACTTACATTTGATTTAATTCTAAAATCCTTTCTTTGGAAACAAGAGATTGATTATGAAATGGTTTATTTATCTTTCTGATTAACGAACTATATTTACATTAACAACTAAATCTTTTTTATACTGTTCCTTGGATTAAAGGTCATCCATAAATAATTACTTTCTTAAGCAATGTATTTTAAAGTAAACTACACTTAATTTCTAAATCTAAATGTATTCACCCTGACTTGAGCTTTACTAATGTAACTTACCCATAACGATATTCTTTTTAAAATTACATAGGCATTACCCAATTTATCAATGTAAATATTTCAAAAAGTAAATGATTTAATGGGATAAATGGAAATAGAGGTGATGGTGATGGTGATGATGATGATGACGATGATGGTGATAGCACAAAATAGAATGCCATCTGATAAATGTGACTTCAGTCCATTTTTCTAAGTGCTGGAATTCAAGGTGATGAGAGAACACTATTATTCTTTCTCATAGCTTTAGGATTCTCATATTATTCTCAGCATCAGGGCTTAGACTGGAAGAAAACCTTGGATGCAGGATATTGCCCTGACCTCTTCATGGGTGGGAACTGTGGTACACTGACACTGGAACCAGCCGGCTGCTTCGGTGCTGGCAGGGGTGAAATCCACTTGCTGGGACATGCTGCATCCCACCTTTCATGGGAGGGAGCACACAGGTGAACAGGTGCAGGAGCACTTTTGGGTGCCAGCAAGAACTAATTCCATGCAGGCCCCACTGCAGCATCTGGGGGTGTGCCCGTGCCCCTGAAGCCCCAGAGGGGTAAGGCGTTAATTGTGCTCTTTTAGCTCTGCTATCAGCAGAGGGTTTAAGTGTTAACAGCTCAGTGGGCCCTTTGCCTTTTTGCTTAAGGGGTCTGACTCTTGCTAACAAGGACATAGGGTCAGTGTAACAACTTTTTCTATCTGCACTCCTGGCTCCTGAGCTCTTGTCCAGCTTCCAAGAAAAAATGAGGTTGCACAACCGAATTGGAGGATGATAAATGCGGGAGATTTTATTGTTGATGTAAGTGACTCTGAGCAGCAAAGAGAGCTAGAAAGGCAATGTGAATGAGGAGGGTAATCTCTCCCTGAAGTCTGGCTGTCTCCAGTCAGACTCTTCTCGAAAGTCACACCGTCAATCTGTCCCTCTGAAGTCAACCCACTTCTCTCCAACATCCAACCATAGTCTCCAGCATCCAGCTGCTTCTCCTCCCGACTTTAGCCACTTTTCTCTGCCGTCTGAGCCTGGGTTTTTATGGGCATAGGATGAGGGGCCAGGCAGGCCAAAAAGGCAACATTACTTGCCTTTTGAGAGGGAAAACAGGGATAGGAGTACTCACTTTGGGCTGCAGTCTCAGCCTATTTAGCTTGAGACTGGGACTTTAGCTGAGGACCCACTTTTCTGCCTAGAATTTCTCAGTCTTCTGTTTATAGCACCTTCACATAGTATTTTACCAAAGATAACTAAGCCAACATAAATTTTCAATAATTTACTTGCAATTTTTTTATTTTACTAAATTCTAAAATTCATGGCAAACATGATTTCCAACAAACAGCACTTGCTCTTTTTGTTTTTTGTTTTTTTTTTCATTTTCATATTTTCATATGAACATGTACAAATACTCTGTGCAATTATAGAGAACATAAACTTTATCACAAGTATCAATAGAACCATTAGTAAGCCAAATTCTTTTAAAGTGATTATTTACATTCTCAGCTGCTGTGATGAAATCTGAATTATTTTATTATAGCAATCAATGTAGCATCACATATGCAAAAACATACCCAACGATTACCCTAAATAAGTTTTACACCTTAACACATTTCTTTATCTGCTTTTTCTCTAACAGAGAGCCAAAACATTTATATCAACAAAATATTTTTCCAACACATATGTGCACATATTATGATTTTTGAATGGCAACAATATGAGTAAAATTATTTTATTTAAGGATAAATTTAGGAATAATTGTCTCATATATTTAATATCCACAGTACTATAATTTATCAAAAAATCAGTAATTTGTCACTTTGTGCATTGTAAATAATTAAATTGGAAATAAGAATGAAAGGTGTCCAGCAACATATCAATATTGAAAATTTGATGTTTCAAATTAAGATTAAGAATTTGAATTTATACTTTTTGCTTATATTTTCTTTTTAAAATTAAAGAAATGTTTAAAATTTTAACTTGCATTTATAACTACCATAATAGTCTATTTGACTTTATTCACTAAAAACCCTAATAATTGTATCTGTGAAAATACATAGTTTCGATATAATTTTATATTCATTGTTTTACTTTGTTTTTCTGCCTTCTAAATATTTTTATTATTGTGGAACATAGCACACAGACAGAAAGCAACAGAACCTAAATGCACAGTAAGAGAAGAAATTATACCATTACCCCTGTGTTTACCACATCTTGGTCATAAAATAGAATTTTCTAGCCATCCAGACACTCCCCATTTTTGCCTTCTTGTAGATCTTATTCTCCTCTTGTTTTCCCCCTCCCTACTATCCCTAGTGTTATGATAGTCATTCATATGTTTCATTTTAGAGTTTTGTCACCAATGTAATAAATTACAATGTATTAAAGATATATTTT